TCTCTCCATGCCTGTCTGAAATATATTGAATAAACAACTAATGTAATTGTCTTTTCATTCAAGAAAATATTTTAGAGCTTTCACATATACACATAATGTAGCGACAAAATTTAGGATCAAACAATTTAAAAAAAAGTTTTGTTTTTTTCTGTATGTATGTATAAAATAAAATATTTGGCACTAAATGCTGAACACCCAAAAGATGAGATACATATTTGAGCTAGAAAAAGTAGATGTCCACGCCCAGAAAGAGTATTCACTGACATAAAGACAATGTAGTTCTGCATTAAGATGTGTTAGCCATGATATGTGTAATTCTTTCATTTTCATTTAAGCAAAAAATCCGAAACACTTTATTGAAATACACAACGAAAATTATATTTCTGATTATATACTGTATAAATCCATTTTTAATTCACCAGAACACATAAAAAAGGACATTAGACTAGCAGAAATGCTTGGTGATTTTTAAAGGGGCTCACAAAAGCAGTCATTATATTCCTGTTAGTGCAAAGATGCAGAAAGACATAGATGGAGGGGGAGGGAAGAAGAGCCGGAGCCCTTTTGAGATTGTTAAACAACTGAGCAAATCAGGCATTACCAACAAAAGAGCAGGTCAAAACATTTGTTAGCTTGCATCAATCACAGTTTTAAAACTGTGTAGACATATACACAGACACACACAAATATGCACATGCATACTTGTGCAATTTTTTATATTACCAATCAACTTTACCCTTTTTTGGTCATAATATGATTGACAAAACTCCCTATTATTCCACGATCTGTGCATGTTTTAATGAGTATTAGGGAACTATAGTAAAAACAATTTCATAGTTTAATAACCCCTCAGTTAATATGTGAAAATGAAGAGAACTTGCACATAAAATAGTTCGACTGCTCTCTAATTTGAAAATAAATGGTCATTATTAATGTAATTATTACATTGTTAACAAATTTCTGCACATGAATGTACATCTGTGTAAATATGTGTTTTTTGTCTATAGGTTCTTGAATACATGATGAATCTATGAATGATATGTGACTTATCTGTGCTGCTGATTGTCCATGCTGCTGATCTCTTACCTTTATGCTGCTGTATTATTATTAACCTTTGTTTAACCAGCCAAAGCCCATTGAGATCACAAATCTCTTTTGCAAGGGAAGCTTGGGCCTGAAAGCAGTCTAACATGCATGTTTTTCTTCTATTTTTTGTTGTTTGGTATGTTTATGTTTTTAGTATTCATACCCATCTGTTTAGACTCATGTCCAGGCTGCTGTTTAATATACTGTATTATTTTACATTATTAGTGTTTAGCTAATATTTTAGATCTTTTAATGTATCGTTTAGCATTCGTTTTGCATATATCTTAGTGTATATCTTAAGCCCCTTTTCCATTAGTAGCTTTTAGTACCGGTACAGTACGGTTCGACTCAGCTCGGTACGGTACACGTTGTGTTTGCATCATGCTTTCAGTACCAATTCCAGTGCTGGTGGTGGTAAAACCACAGGTCTCAGTACAGGGTGATAATTTATTTTTGAAGTTTCTGGTAAATTAAAAAGAATAGGTACAGATTATTAAAAAGATCAAATTAAACTATATACATATATATTCTGCTATTAAACTTTTAATGAGCTTTAGTTCACCATTAAATTTCTTATGAACCAGATTTTACAAAAAAAAATCTATATTTATAATTGTGTATGTTTTCTTCATCATTTGATGTATTTGCACTCATTGTGTCTACTTTTATTATTCAATTTAGATCTGTGGTTTTGTTTCTTGTTCACATATATTTCTTTATTTATTTTTAACTTTGCTTTCAAGTCCTTGTTTTGTGATTTGTTCACCTGTGGATTAGAATAAAGTTGAACTAAAGGCTATAGCTCTTCTATAAACATGTTTGAGGGAAATATTCCCGAGAGATCCAATAATTTTGTTACTTTTTTATGATTTTTCAGCTGAGTTAAGTCTAACATATTATTTAATAGTCATTAAAGTGAAAACAGGATTTCATGATGAAGACGGCACAGTTTATTTATTTTATTTTTTTTAAATCTTCACTGATTAAAAAATAATAACAACAATAATTATAATTATACGTTGTACATAAAATGTTTTTAAAAATTGTTTCCACCCTCCATCCCAGACCTATCCCGGTTTGCCCATCTGCCGGAATTGGGGTTCAGCCTTTATGATCATTCAAAGCCGGTGTCCGGACCCCGGCGTTCTGCGAGTCAGCAACTCCTATGAACTTGTATGGTAACCAGTAGAGCTCGGAGCCCACAGAGCACACAAGGCTGGGATCCGGAGCCCGAGCTCTGAGTTGGCACCACGGAGGATCTTCCACGGTGACCGGTGGAGCTCAGAGCCGGGGAAATGATGCCCTGCAAGGCCTGAGGTGGCTCCAAAGCTCCGGTGGAGAGGACCGGGTAGACCGGTGGAGCTCCGTCTATCTCGCTCTGAATTTTGTCATCGGCCACCAAGCAGAAAAAAAGTGCCTGCACTTCAGCATTAGACCACGGCGTTGTCATTATTTTATTTATTAGAAAATGTCCAAATGACCTGACTGAAAATTCTTGGATTATATACCTGAATTATTGAGCATGGACTTTGTTGTTGTCATTATTGTTTTTATAATTTTTAAAAAAAAGGTCCAATCACTCCTCGAGTTCAAACATCGGTAATTGCAAATGACGGATCGAGTGTTGTGAAAAATTCTCAAACCCTTTTAGTGACTCCGCCCTGACCAATCAGTGACCAACAGTGTTCTGACATCACGTTTTGGTGCCGGCTCGGCTTGCTTGGTACCCCAGAGAAGAAGGAACTAAAAAAAGTGCCGGTTCCACGAAAAAGTGATAGTGGAAAATGGCTCGGAAGTGTATCGAACTGAGTCGAGTTGTGCTAAAGAGGAGCTATAGAAAAGACCTATAAGATCCTTTTATACTTTATATTTTTTCTATTGTTGGGAGTAACTGGGAATTTGAGTAGACAACTTAATTCCACATGTACCACATGTGATGTGAATGACAATAAAGAACCTCAAGGTTCAACTTGAATCTAAATCAAGACTGTCAGGAAAAATCTACAGCAATGTTATTTATTATGCTGATTCAACTGCACACCCCAAAGTATATATATAAAAAAATAAATAAATCATGCAAAGATTGCTATAAGCTCTTGGTGTGCATTTTTGAGACCAACATATAAATAACGTAATTACTAAGGTCAGTTTTTATTCTAATTACATGTGTGTGCATACCATATAATCTTTGTTATAATGAGCTAAAGAAAAAACGGCTTTGTGTATCCTATGTTAATTTGCAGCAAATGTCAGCTCAGGGCACCCCACACACAAAAGCACACACCCAAACACACACATACACAAAGTCCAGTATTAAAAGTTAGTGTCTAAGGAAGCTATCAGATTGTGTCCAATCCCCAGTTGTTGAGAACGGGAAAGAAGAACTCCTGCAGGAAGAAACCTCCAGTGGAACCAGGCTCCAGATGAGCCGCCTTCTGCCTCGGCTGGCTGGGGTGTAAGAAGACAGGGAAGAAACACAAACAGAGCTTTAGTCGGGGTGCAGCTTCAATGGGAAGAAAAGCAAAGAAAACATACAAATGAATGACAATTACTGAAACACAGAGGAAAAAACAAAAACTAAAGAATAAATAAATAAAAACAGCAGAGTGTGGTAATTTGGTCAGTTTGTCTTCCAGTAATTTAAACTTTGTAGAACCATCACTAATAGTGTACGAAACACAAGCCAACACAAACTGTAGGATTTATCAAAAAGGAATGTTAAAGCAGTTTCATAGATCAAAACTGGAATTTGGTTCACACGAGAGGAGCCTGAAAATAGGAATATCTTGCTCGCAGTATACTTTTCAAAACTTTAGGAAGCACCTCAGCTCCTCAGCGAGGCTGTCTGCATCCTGCCGGCATGAAGCCGACCACTGAGCGTGCACGCGTGATCAGCAGCAGCGCAGCCAACTCTGCTCCATAGCAGCCGGAGGCGCTGCGCGTGCACCGACACACGCTTACGTCAGGAACCTGAATTAGCTGAGATGAATGCGAGCACAACTGTTAGGGCGAGGGTGCGTTCTTATACTACCCCCCCCCCCCCCCCACACACACACACACACACACACACATGGAAGCACAGGAGCCGAGAGTGCTCAACAGACAGAGCCAGTGAGGTGGGGTGTGTGTGTGTGAGGTGTGTGTGTGTGTGTGTGTGGGGGGGGATGGAACTGCTTTCAGCACCATGGACAGATACATCAGCCTAGTTTTAGCCTATTTTGATTGTCTCCATACCACTGACCCCCGCAACCCCCCAAAAAGGAAGAAGCGGGTAAAGAAAATGGATGGATGGATGGATGGATGGATGGTTGAATGGATGGATGGATGGATGGATGGATGGATGGATGGATGGATGGATGGACTGTTTTCATTTTTGGTGTGGCTTCAATAAAATACATGGCATAAACTGATTTTCATTAAGTCATAAAAAAGTTTAGTCGTAAACTTGTTGTACTTGATTATACTGCGTGCGACTAATGTTGCATATTTCCATATTATGCATATGTTAACCTTTGTTTAGGTGGAAGTTTTAATCATTATTTGTGGTGAAGCAGAAAATCAGACAAAATTAAGTGTGAACAACTCTTCACTGGTTACAGATTTAGAAGATCAAAACTTGTGCATTTGGGCATTCCCCATCCCACCCCGTTCTGTTGGAGCAGCGGGTGCCTTGCTCATGGACAGTCTCTAACCAGCGAATAAAAAAAAGAAAAGAAAAGAAGACAGTCCCACCCACGTTTTCCTACTTTTCTCTCATCCAACAACCAGACTCGAAACACGCACAGTGGATATTTCAGAAAAAAAATAAAAAAAATAAAATCTATATCAAAAAAGGGGGAGACCCCCGTGTTCTCGTGAGAAACATGAAGTCTTGATTCTCCTTTAAATTTCCTCCGTGCCTGGATCTGCCACTTCCATCTTCAGCAGCGACGGCGCGCTGAGCTGCTGCTTCATGTTGTGGTCCGGAGTGCGCATGCGCCCGGTATTGGAATTACTGCGCTGGCAAGAATAACTTAGAGCTCGTCTGCCTTTCCCCCACCCCTCCCTCCAAAAAAAAAAAAAAAAAAAAAAAAAAAAAAAAAAAGAAAGATAGAACCGAAAGCTACACAACCGTTAAAGAATGTTTGCGTCAAGAATAAGAAGAATGAAGACTGCGTGCGTCTGTTTTTTCCCCTTCATAGTGGCCGTGGCGCGCGCTCAGAGGTAAGTGAAAGGGTCGGGGGATGCTTCACATATTTCTTTAAGTGCAACCGTGTTCCTGGCTGCATGCAGATACTTGACACCTTCTTTACATACTATCCTCCCTTGTCTTTTCTGCAGCGCCGGTGTCAATGACCCGAGCAATATGCCCCTGGTCAAAGAAACGGTGGACAGACTCTTGAAGGGTTATGATATCCGACTGAGACCAGATTTTGGAGGTAAATGAAGTCGTGTTTTCACCACCTCTATTCCAGTTGAAGCACCGCGTTTATGATCATATTCCAACTTGATTGTCCATATCGGAAAGTTTCAGCGATAATAATCTAATTGGAGTTGCTATCATTTGTAATAAATTCAATTTACAGTGTGGGTGAATGCCTGATCAGGAGCCGACATGATAGTGGAAGAGATTCTAAATAATTCACCTCATTTATTCAAGTGGAAATGATAATTGTTTAAACGTTGATGCCTGCAAAGTTATAACTAATGTGGGATGCAGTGACATATGTTGTTTGGTGTTCTTTTAAAGGAGGGTGTGATACTTTCACTGCAGGTCAGCGCGCATTTAATCCCTCCCGAAATGAGCATCGTGGATTCATTATCCGGCAGGAAAAATAATAATAAAAAAAAAAAAAAAAACGAGAAATAATCCCACCACGCACATATTATAAAAGGCTTTTCATAAAAACAATGCACGTCAGAGAGTCTCTGCAGCTGCACCTGACGCGCACGGTGTCAGTTTGTCACGGTTCTTCTGGTTCTGTCCCAGGTCCTCCCGTGAGAGTGGGAATGAACATAGACATATCCAGCATAGACATGGTGTCCGAGGTGAATATGGTAAGTAGGCCACTATTTATATGAAGTGATGGTTATTCCTCAGTAATGATCAATGTTATGAGTGCACCCCCCCCCCCCCCCCCCCAAAAAAAAAAAAAAAAAAAACAGCAGGGAATCCCCCGTTTATGCGGGACTGTCTATTGAAATGCAGCATCAAGACGGGATTGAGTTTGTGCATAAGGAGATTCTATCCCTTTATTTATTAATTTATTTATTAGATGATCAATTCACTTCTTGATGGGGGGGATCAAGTTTATTGCTTTTTCAATCTGTGACTCAAACAACCACCATATCAATAGGACAGGTGTCGTCAATCAGTACTATTGATCATCAAATGAATGTGATTAAATAAAAGGCTACATGTTAGTGTTTTTTAGTTTTACATGTCAACATTGTGTTATTAAGGATCCACCTCGTCTTCATTCGTGGTGTGGAGCATTTGTCAGATATGTTTCTGCACAGCAGTGAGAGTGGAGCATGAGGAGAGCTGTGGGCATGAGAAGTGAAGACTCATACAAGTGCACCTCTTAGTGATGGAACTCTAGTATTGCAACGAGTTTTAGACTAACCCAAGGCTGCATTTTGTCATAGTGGAAGGTCACTGTTGACACTTACCATCCAGCTGACAAGGTGAGACAAAATTGATATTTATGGTAATATGTCAAACCATTTAATAGGTCTATTGTCATCTTTTGGTTTGATTTTAACATTGGCCTTTCATGGTTGACCTTCACTGTGGGAGGGGATTTCCATTTGCAGTTTATGCATAATTTGTAAAGATGTGGGCTTTTAAAAGTGTTTTTATAGTACTAGTTTAATTTCTAATAATGGTTTTGCACAGGCATATTTTTGGGCAGGAGGTGGTGCTTTAATGTTCCTCTTTTTGTGGCGTCTGTTGAATTTTAAATCTGACATTGGTGAATATACTTTGACTTTTTTTTTTTGCATACATGCACATAAGGAATTACTTTAACCACAGACAGGTAAACACACAAATACACAGTACAACTTTAAAGAGCTCTTTGCAAAAGCCTTGGATATTTTACTAGCATGTTGTCCCCAAAGTAAGTGCTTGACTTATTGACTTTATTTTATTGTTCTGCATCGTTTAGGGTTGAAAGGTCTTTAGGTGTTCATTGTATGAATTACAGTGGTATTCTAGGAATCAGTTCATCCATAGACTAAGATTAATTATATTGTCTTTATACACAATAAAAAAAGAAGATGGGGGTGATTAAATATTGGTTCATGGAGCATAATACTTTAGTTACACATTTTGATATTTTGATTTGGACCATTATTTGAAAGAGTGTAACATAAAACATAAAAGGTACCCAAAGGATGTGATGATTGTAGGGGCTATTTTTCATCCTGTTACAAATAATAAACGTGGTAGATGTTATGTTCCACCTCTGGTTTCTGCTCTCACATTAAGATTTTAACAAATAACCACCCATATGTTTGCTGTATGTGCCGGTGCCTGCCTCAGAAATACATCAAGGTTTGTGTTTTTTTTTTTCTATTCATCCACACGTGGCCAAACAAAAAGTCCCACTCTTGGAAAGCCTGTGCAATGCAGCTTCTTTGATCATCCTGCTCTTTTGTGCGGTTTGGCCCTCTAAACACTCTCTAATGTGAAAGGCGAGTCATTACCACCTGACCCATTCGAGTCTCATGAAAAGAAAAGGCCACATGTGTCTGTGTAATGGTCTCAGCATCTTTGATCTGCTCTCTGTCCTAATATAAATGTAACCACTTTCCAGGATAGCAGCTGGTGCAGAAGCACTTTCCTTTCTTCCATTTCCTGTACCCCATCTGGCTCTCTATCTCCCACTTATTTTGGTGTATGTGCAGTACCACCCTGTGTTATGTCTTTAGAGTACAGATAGGCCACTGAGTTGAGGGAAATGGAGAGAAATCACAGAGGGAGGCATCCTACAGTATACATTTTTTTTGTCATTGTGATGGGATAGGAGATCACTATGTATTTAAAACATAAATGACTGCCTACTCACTCTGTTGGAGGCTTCACATCAGATACATGTAAACATATTTTAAGTGGATCTTCTTAAACCATCCATTTAATCGTATCATTACCAATAGGGAAGATGTCCATTTAAAAACAATATAGGCTTGTAACTCACTTAAAATGAGTCTCCAAAGTCTAAATTAAGCATACAAGCCTTAAAACAAGTTCTATTTCATACATTTTTAACAACTTCGCCACATTAATAATACGTTTATCTCCATAGAAATAATATATTTCAACCAGAATTGATCCAGAAGTTCTACAGTTAGTTGGCATAATCTGCGTTTACACTTTACCATACTGTTCTATGTAGATAGCTGTCAAATCTGAAATTGATGGCAGTGTAAAGATTTAGTGTAAAGACTGCTTTAAAGGATTTTTTTTAGACGTTGTTTTAAGGTGGCACCAGTCTACTTTGGTCTCACTCAAACTATCCGTTAGCTCATCAGTCCAGTCAAAACTCATCTTGCTTTTTTTCTAAAGTGAGGCCAATCAAAGAGCTATCTGCAACTGGTCCACACCCACCCAGAACCACACCAACCCAGGACCACACCCACCCAGAACAAGGACTTTTCCATCTACTACCCTCAGGCACATGATACAGGAGCGTCCCATTGTGCACGAAGACTCAAATACAGTTATTACCCACAATCTGTCAGATTACAGAACTATCTACAATAACATTGCACTAAGCCACATCTGTGACAGCTAATATGTTTATTGCTGCTGCACTATGTGGCTGTATCATGTATGTCACTACCATCATAATTCAAAAAAGCTCAACGTTAATCAATACCTGTGCAATAACCTGTCACACAACCTGTGTAGTATGTGCAATATATTATATATAATGTGCATTTAAGTTTATATTACTACCTGTGGAATAATTATTTATATTAAATCATCCAACTTGCACCGTTATATTCTACCATGTTGCCGTGTTGTTGTTTAGTATATTTCTTTTGGATCTTGTAAATATTATATTTCTTTTTCACTTTTGATACTTTATTTTGTACCCTTTATTGAATGCTTTAGTGTTTCGTGTTAGCTTTTTTTGTTTGTTTGTTTGTTTGTTGTTGTTTTTTTAGCAAGTCGAATCGGTTCTTCTCATCTGGAACATTTCATTGCATTGTTGACCTTGTGTTAACCTGCATATGACAAATAAACAACATAACATGGTCCAATGAGATTTATCCACTTACAAATATATGAAGCATCTCCTTAAGTAAGTTCTCTGTGATATTTTTACCATAAAAATATATAAAACGCACCCACGTGAGCTCATGAATTCTGAATGGCCAAACAGTAAAATTATGTTAATCTATTTTTTTTTTAAACTATGATAGCAAATTGACAAACCCCAGCTTTCATGCCTCATAAAAAAAACAAACAAAAACTGCTGATTGGTTGTTGCTTAACTGAGATACTTTGGTAGGTTTACAGTTACTTTACTGGTTTTTGCAGCATGTTAAGATGTCATTTAGGCCCAGATCCTGACATATAACAGCAAAGCTGTTTCTGGTGTTTCTTACACACCCGTGAAAGGTCAGTGCATCCTGGGTGATGCAGCCAACATCCCAGTTCTGCAAGGGAGAAAAGGGATAGGGTATGATTGTGTAAGACCTGGGGGTTATCATTTTCTCCTCTGAGTGTTTGACATGGAGGGAAGATTGAGATAAATATGAGATAGATGTTTGACATTACCAAGTTACCACAGGGAGAATCCGCCATGGTGCTAATGTTAGAGGGAAGGTTGTGCACTGACCCCTGCAGAGGGTTCATTCTGGATGACTCAGAGATGGACATGCAAAATGGGACACAAACAGTGAACATCTATGTCATGTTGGTTTTCTGATCTCAGAAGTCTGGCTTTGGAAACCTTTAGCTAAGCACCAGTGAAAAGAAGGGGGAAAAAGCAGCCATTATAAAAGCCTGGTGTGCCGATAGTAGATATCTTTCTCTTTTTCCCCTTCCACCAAATCCCTTTAGTGATTTTCTGCTACCTTTCTAGTCTCAATATTTGCTTTTGCTTGAGCCCTTGAACACTTGAATCATAAGCCATTGGTTTCTTCAAGGGTGAAATACTCGTCTGAGGATGAACAAAAGTTCTTATCCTCATCCAAAAAGAAGAATTGCTAATATTGATGTTCACAAAGGTCGAGGGGAGCTTATTGATTGTTGGAAAAAGGACTGAAAACTGAGTTACCCCCTTTCAGTAAGCTGTTTTTCCACATTTCTGTATGTCTAGTATGAATGATTCATCTTAGAACTAGAGCTAGACTGCCCTTCATATCGATGCAATGCGATATAATGTATTTTGGATTAAACTATTTATCACAATGAATTAGGTAAATAAATGCTACAATTTGAAACGGTCTCTCAGTGTCCAGATGATATTTAGTAGGACGTACATTTGTTATGAATTTTGTGCAGGACAAACAAGACAAAAACAAACAAAAAAAAACTGATTACTTTTAGGAATATATATTGTCTGTCATTTTACATGTTTACATATTTAATTTTGTTTTATAAATGCTTCATGTCTACTTTAATTTTGTGTTGTTGAAAATGTTCACATTTTTCTAATTATTCATTAAAAATCAGTGAATTTCCTCCAAAAAAAATGTGAAAAAATATTCAAGATCATCAAATTCAGTAGAATGGTAAATTGTATGGGGGTGGGAGTGGGGATTTATTTTTACCTGTGTATTTCAACCCTTTATTATCGGGCTTTGATGTGTAATGACCCTAAGGTGATGAAAATATTCTCAACCCACTTCCTCTGTATTTTTTTATATAATTCTCTCTTTTCAGTCATGTCTTTTTCACCTCACTTCCTACTTGCAAACTGAAAAGCCTGGGCCTACCTGCTACAGAACATAGTCAAAGAAAAAGAGAACATGAAAGCTACACAGAAGCGGTATACATTACAAAGCAGTGCAGAAAAAAAGCACCTGTGAGCGGAAGAAAG